GGGCTGCTGTGTATTATTTAATGGGCTGCTAAATTGGCAAAATGGATGGCTAAATTGGCCACACCCACCCAGTCACATGACCACCAAGCCTCTCCCACTCGGTCACATGATTGCCAAGCCATGCCCACAAAATAAGCCACACCCACAGAACAGGCAATAAAAAAAATTTGAAACCCACCACTACCTTAGTTCTAGGTTGCTTCTCTCTTTGGTTTCCATCCATTGTTTTTTGGTGCTTTCGAAAATAGTTTGACCTTCTCATGTTTGTAGGAGCCCCTCAAATATTGGAACACTGCTATCATGTCTCCTGTAGTCCTTCTTTCCATTAGATTAGACATACTCAATTCCTGTAACCATTCTTCGTGTTTTAGCCTCCAGCCCCCTAATCATTCTTGTTGTTCTTATCTGAACTTTTTCCAGAGTCTGGAAAAAGAATTAGATTCAGTATTCCAAGTATGGTCTTACTAATGCCTTGTAATGCAGTATTAGAACTTCAGCTAATCTTGATTCCATTTTTCTATTAATTCAACCTAGGATTGCATTAGCTTTTTTGGCTGCTGCTATACACCATTGGCCCATATTTAAATGACTGTCCACGAAGACTCCAAGATCCCTCCCATAATTATTGGCATTATGCCAGGTTCCACCTAGTTTGTATCTGTACACTTAGGTTTTCTTGCCTAAGTGTAAACCCTTAGTTTTATCTATGTTGAGTTTCATTTTGTTGGATAGGGATCATTGTTCAAGTATGTTAAAATCTTTTTGGATCTAGAGTTTGTCTTCTGGGGTGTTGGCCGTGACCCAACAAATGCGCGCCCGACAAATGCGCACCGACAAAACAGCCATGACAGAATGGCGATGTTGAAAGCACGCCCACTAAAGCGTGCTGACAAAACCACACCCACAAAAGTGCGATTAGGGTTTTTAGGTTAGAATTAGGGTTAGGGTTAGGGTAAAAGTTAGGGTTAAGGTTGTTAACGTTGTTACCGTTGCTTTTGCGTTGCTTTCGATGGCGCGCGTTTGTTGGTGCGCGTTTGTCGGCGCACTTCAGTGGGCGCGCTTTTGACGTTGCCGTTTTGTCACGGCGGTTTTGTCGGCGCGCATTTGTTGGGCGCGCATTTGTCAGTGAACCGGTGTTGGCTATTCCGGCCAGCTTAGTGTCATTTGCAAATTTGATGAGTTCCCTTCAATTATCTCATCTAGATTGTTTATGTAAATATTGAAGAGTATGAGGCCTTAAATGGAACTTTAGGGTGTCCCACTACTTACTTCCCTCCATGTGGACATAGTTCAATTGAGAACTACCATATTTTTTGGAGTATAAGATGCACCTTTTTCCCTCAAAAAAGAGGTTGAAAATCTGGGTGCGTCTTATACACTGAATACAACATTTTTCCCCTCTCGAAACCCCGCTCCTTCACCAAAATGTCTGTGTATAGCTTTTAGGAGGCTTTCAGAGTGCTCCTGGGGGCTGGGGAGAGCAGAAATGAGCAACAAATGAACTGTTTTTTGCTCAGTTGTGCCCCTCCAGCCCCCAGGAGCACTAAGTATCCATGCCCATTTTTTGACAAAAAAGGGGCCTGTTTTCATGAAGAATTGGGCCATTTTTACTCGTTTTTGGCACCCTCCCCAGGAGCACTTTACAAGCCTCCTAAAGGCTCTTCATGCCCTTAAAAAAAATGGGCCCGTTTTTGCAAAAAAACGGGCCGTTTTTGTGAGGTTTGCAGAGTGCAAAAACCTTTTTTTTAAATTTGCCTCTTCATGAAAACCTTGGTGCGTCTTATACTCCAGTGCGTCTTATACTCCANGCAATATGCTGACTCTCTGTAAACCGCTTAGAGAGGCCTGAAAGGCCTATGAAGCGGTATATAAGTCTACTGCTATTGCTATTGCTATTTTTTAATACTCCCCAAAATATTTCATTCTCTGGGGGAAGGGGCTTCTTACAAAATCTTTGTGGCCAATAAGAGATCATGCAACTCCCCCACCCCCAGAAAATACTATTTTTTCCTACTCATAAAGACATGGAAAATTCTTTATCATTCAGCCAACGTAAAAACATTTGCTCAATAAGTAACTATATAATTATTCAAGAAGGCACGCTTATTTTGTTCTTTGGACCCAGTATTGCTTAATTTAATTCCATTTGTTGGAATTCTTAACTGTAGAGTGAAACATTAACATGAAGGCTATATACAATCTTATTAACATCTATAATAAATGTTGGATTATTGCACAACTCAAATAAGTTTAAACTTGTTTCCAAAGGTTTCATAGATCCCACCCATGCAATTCAGGTCAAAGGCCTGAGGAGGAAAGAGAAAACAAGTGAAAGGGCATGCCAATGATTCAGTAGAAAGAGTAGATAGGCTACATCTAATTCAGTTCGTTGTAGTTGTTACTGAAAACTTATTACTAAAAGGAAATGGATTGGACTGGAACAATTTTAATTGTATTACTATTTATTCTTGCAATTATGTTCCTTTTGCAAAAGGGAAGTTTCTGGAATAACAGCTGCCCCAATCTTCCCCCAGGACCCAGGACTATACCCATTTTGGGAAACCTGCACATGATGGATCTAAAGAGGCCTTACAGAACAATGATCAAGGTAAAGTGTGGTGATTAACAGGTATCTTTACATTCTTTGCCAAAATATATTGAAATAATAATAAGTCTTGTGTGTTCACTGAAGTTTTTCAATGTTTATGGACATATTTTAAAAATCAGATTTACCTAAATCTGAATATATCCTGCTTGAACAAGGTTTTGGACTAGAAGACCTCCAAGGTCCATCCCAACGTTGTTATTATGTTATTCTGTTATATTTGTGAGTCCTGGAAGAATTATTCAAAACAATCTTTTTCTTTTTGATGGATGTCTGGAAGTTGAATGATGGCAACTGGACTTCTTTTCTTTTTTGGTTTGAAACATTTGACTATTTATTCCAAATAACTTCAAGTTGGTTAGGGGGACCCCATATACTATATGTCCAGAATCTCCAAAGGAAAGGATGGCTTCCAGGCCTGACACTATATGTTCTCCAGGCTGGTCTCAAGTGGTCTAAGTGCTATTGCTATGTCTCACCTAATCTGGATAGGCTCATTAGAACCCATTTAAGAGAAGGAATTTTGAGCAATGACCCTTAACAACTTTCTGCCTACTCACTTAACTACCCTGGAGGACATACATGGGGTCCCCTTCCCCAACTTGCTCAGACTGAAGAAGCTAATTGGATAAGCAGTCAAAAGTTTCAAACAAAAAAAGAAAAGAAGTCCACTTGCCATGACTCAACTTCTAGGCAACTGTACCTGACTGACTGAGAATCTTCACTGACATTTGTTAATAGATGTAAAATTTTGTAGTTGTTCATTCAGATTTGCAGAGCTGCTTCAAACTCCATGGAAATATAAATACTGTTAAACTGAATGATTTCTATAAGTTCTTAGAGGCACTCCTATGTTTTAAGCAACATTTTAATTAAAATAATTTCTTCAGGGAGCAACATTAGATGCAAGATTTTCTTACATCTTTTTAAGAAGAGGAAGAGGCTATTTTTCTGATTTTCAGAGTCACTTAATATATTTTATATTAAGAATATATTTTATTGATTTTATTGAGAATATATTTTATTTTGTTTCCTTAAGGAATTCCCACGATCAGAAACTACAAGGGACACAATAGGAAAGTTTCTGTGTGATCCTTTCAACAACTGAGAAGAGTCTATTTTAATTAAAATTCAACTGTATGTCTAGCACTAGAGGCTTCAAGGCAGCTTTGCAAAATGCTGGAATATAAGTATACCTCTTGTGCAGGCTTCATCTTCATATAGTGTCCTACGTAGTTGAGGCTTTTATGAGAATGTTTATGAGAAACATTTATTTGATATGATCATTCAGTATGCAAGAACTCTCTTATTACATAATGGTCATTTTGATTTGATACACACACACAAACACAATAATAATAATAATAAATGCATAAAGCATAAAGCAAAAACAGAGAAAAACATGATCTCAACCTTGGAATAGTGAGATGTTAAAATTTAAACAAAATTCTGCATGATTAATTATTAATGGTTGATCAAACAGTCTTTTGCTTTTCATCTGTTGAATTTCAGTTGTCCAAAAAATATGGTCCTGTTTTCCGCCTCAGACTGGGATTCCAGGAAATGGTGGTGCTGACTGGTTATGAGACAGTGAAAGAGGCTCTAGTGAACCAGGCTGATGCATTTGCAGAGAGAGCCTCCGTCCCCCTTTTTGAGGATTTTGCAGAGGGCTTTGGTGAGTTGTTTCATTCTGGATCATAGGTGACAATCATTTCAATGTGTGATCAGTATTCTGTAGAACCTTTCACCTGAATTTTTCCTGGGCAATAACCTCAGAGAACCGGGATAACTTCTGTCAATCCAAACAGGATAGAGAAACAATATTTGTGTTGCTATTTTGGCCTGATCCCAACTCTTAATAATTGGGAATAAAAAGAGAATAAAAAGTAATGGCAAAACTGTAGCAAAAACATTTTCCCCACTACACATACACACACACGGTTTGGTTCCACTTTGAAAATTTCGGTTTGAAGTATCCCAATGTTATGCATATATTTCTTTTTATTTTTCTCCATATATATACAGCTCCATGTATGTACAGCTACTCAATAATGAATAATCTGTGTAAATTTTAAAAAGGACTGCAGAAAGCATCAAATTATATTTGTTTGTCCTCCTTAGCCACTCTGCATATTGAAAAATAAAAGAATAACTTTCCCAGAGAACAAGTAAAATAAAGGAAACTAAGCTTAGAATTTCAAATGTAGACTCTCCAAATAGCCAAAAAACTTTTCTTCAAATTTATCAGTCCACACAACTTCAGTTAAATAGTCCCTGAACATTCACATTTCTTTTCTAATTATTATCACAATTCCATCATCCTTACTAAAGTCATTACAAAAATAGTTTAAAAATGCTGATTCCAGGAAGAAAAAATAACTCTGTGCTAAAAGAAAGCCTCTGTCAGACACAAAACTAAACAAAAAAGAGAAATGCTTAGAAATTAGAGTGTTGGCACTAGAGTCCTTTATGGGGCTATGCCCCACCTGGCGGACAAGATTTCCTTCCTTTCCTCTTAATTGTCCACCCACCAAAGGAATCATAAATGCAGCTTCAATGATCTCTCCAAGAACTCTAACTGTCCAGGGATGTATGGGGTGATTCCTTGAATTTATCCTTAATCTCCAGGGAACTTTTCAGGATTTAGGTAGTTTACCTTACCTGACAATCAAATGAGGAATTAATTTCACTCAGTTCCACAATTTTTTTCCTCAGTGGTATAAATTCTCACAACTTTTAGCTAATCTTCCAATTTTTTAAATCAACTATCTGATAACCCGGCATTTCCCGGGTATTTATCCCAATCCTGTATTAGATATCAAGTGGTAACATAAGTGCAGAATTGGCTGTCCTTCCTCCTTCCATGAATGTCACTGCAATTCCTAAAAAGACGATGGCAAGAGCAACTTCTCCCTGAGCCCTGATTTTGGCGACAATTAAATTAGTTCAGAATGTTTTCCCTATGCTCCCATTTCTAATGTTGGATTTTCCCCCTTACCAGAGGGAACCTTCTTGTGGAGTACTGTGTAGCCATTACTATGGCAACTCCATTGCGCTGTACAGTAGAAGCCATTTTAAGGCAGTACAGTAGAAGCTATTTTAAGGCACAACAGTCTGTATCTTAACAGAATATATACACCAAGGGGAGTCTTAACCCCACAGTATTTGTTTCCAGAAAGTAAGTCATCTGTGTACCAAGTTTGGTTGAAATTGCTCAGTTATGCTGGAACACAGACACACAGACACACACACACACAGACACACACACACACACACACACACACACACACAAATACTCACACACAATCACAGCCATTTGTATATATATATAGATTCCGCAGAGCATGCCCACTGCTTTGACAGTTCCCTTATAAAGAGATCAATAAATGTTTGATGGAAAGATTACAGAGAAAGAAGCTGCTTTTAACTGCTTTTCATTAATCTGTGAAATTTAGTCATGGAACAAAGAAGAAGAATATATGATTTCAATTCAAGGTTATAAGAAAAATTTAATAGTAATAAACTCCAGGTATTTTACAAATTCAAAAAATACAGTATCCAGTTGTGAGAGTCTGGTAGCTCTTCACCACTGGGCTTTCCATACGGAAGGGACAGAGGTTATCCAGAACAACTTACTGTATATCAAAAGGAAAAAAAGGGGGAAAGTAATTAAAGTCCAATAAGGGGTTGAAATAAAAGCATTCAACTATGAATCAATTTTTAAAGCAAAAAGTAATATAAAATAATAAATTCAAAAAATGAAAGTTAATACTCAAGCATGCTTAGAAAATGAAACTGCTTGACAGGAAGTTGTATATACAGTGACTTTTTGACTGCTTCCAGAAGGAATTGGAATCTTTAAGACCCCCTTCCCCACTGGGTCCATGGTCCTCTAAAAGTTGTCTTAGGTCACTCCTAAGTGCTCCTATTCAAAATCAGGAAACAGCACTTCCAAAGAACCAGCTTTAGCAGTGAAATCAGCCAATCACTGGTAAGAGAAAGAAAGGAACTCTTACCGTGCAGCAGCCATATTAAGAGGAGGTAAATGGCTGAACAGTGCCTGAAACCTACAAAAGAAGGGTCGGGAAATATGCAGCTTCTAGCTGGATTTTTCTTTAAAAAGCTTGAACAAGCTATGATTGTCCAAAAAAAGCGTTAGAATCTGAGGCTTTATCTTTGAATAAAGCTATACAAAAGGACTCTGATCCAGTTCCAGATCCAGGAGCTCTCACAGCTAGAGAACTCACAGCGGGAGAACCAGCAAAGTAGATTTCATCTGTTGTTCCAAAGCTTACATCTGTACATTTCTTCAGCATCATAGAAGGGAGAGAGACAAATTCCTTTCCTCTATAAAGTTCTCTACTGGGCATTCCCAAGATGGTGTCCTGTCGTGTTTGAGGAGAGCTTCAGGGAGNGTGTCCTAGTGTACTTAGATGATATTCTCGTCTTCATTGAAATGATGGAGGAGCACATCAAACTGTTCCAGCAGGTACTAAAAAAAAGTCCTGGCTGCAAACCTATACACCAAGCTATCCAAATGTGAGTTCCATAAGACCTTCCTCAACTACCTAGACTATGTATTGAGCAAGAGGATAGAAATGGACCCAGAAAAAGTCAAAGCCATCCTTGAGTGGCAACCCACAACCAACTGCAGAGCTTTGGGAAGTTTGGAAACTTCTACCAACAGTTCATCTCCTCTTTTGCCTAAACAGGTCTGTCCATCATCAAACTGCTAAAAACAAGAATTCATTTTTATCTTTAGTTCAAGATTCTGCTAATTGGCTTTAAGGCTTTTTATTTTCTTAATCTTTGCCCAATTTCTGTCAGTTTATTCTTTAGTCTATTTCTGCTTACATATTTTTACCAGTAGTTTAGCTTTTGCACCATATATTTCATTGTTGGACTTAACTAATGAAATGTCTCAGGGACGTGTACTGTTTTGTTTTGATATTTCTGCAAAATGTGTTTAGATATTATAAGGTTAGAACCAGACGTGGTATTCAGCCGGTTTGCACTGGTTCGGGTGAACCGGTAGGGGAAATTTGACCTGGTTCACCGAACTAGTAGCAACCTCTGGCTGGCCTTGTGCCTGCCCCAGTCACCCAATCGCTGATCACTCACCCCACCCATTCACTCGATGCTTGCTCACCCTGTCTGCCTGCTCAATGCTTGCCTGCCCATCCCAGCCCTACATATATTGCCTTCGCTATGCAGCCCAGCTAATTGCCTTGCCAGTCACCTCTGCAGCTCACCCACTCTTCTCAGTTCACCAAAGGTAAACATGCCGCCTGCTCACCCTTTACTTTGGGTCAGGGGCTGGCCCACAGACGCCCCATTCCTGCCCACTTGCCATTCACCTTGGCTGGGTCAGGGAGTGCACCATTTCCAGGCTCTGTGCTGCCTGAGGCCTCCTCCTGCATGCCACTCACTCTCCTTTCACCAGCCTCATTCTCGCTCCTTCAGAAGCCCCAACCCTAGCCATGCTTCCTCCCCCATGACAACCTCTTTCTTTGGGCTTACCTTACTCCTGCAGCAGCTGGTCTGGACTCTGGAAGGCAAGCTCTCTTTTTCGGTGCAACTACAAGAAGCCTCCCAGCTGCTACCTCTTTGCCATCCGCTTCCTGGCAGTAGTGGCTGGCTGAAGGCTGCCGAAAACTACAGGAGGTCTCAAACGCGCTGAAAAAGCCACTGCCATAGCTGCCCTGTTCTTCTCGCTGGCCACACAAGCACATTGCCTGCTGTACTGCTCTACTTGGACTTGCCTGGGCAAGTCCCTCTGGTGCAGCAGGCAATGGGATGAGTGTGCAGAGAGAGAAAAGGAGAGGAAGGAAGGACAACAAACCTGGCACTAGATGCAGCTTCAGAGGATGCTTTGAAACAGCACAGCAATCTAGGGCTAGAAGGGACCTCAGAGGTCATTTAGTCCAACCACCTGCTCCAGCAGGAGACTTTATATCATCTTGGTTATTTTGGTGCCTCTAACATAGAGGAGAAATTCCCAGAAATCCCAAGGCATTGCCAACCTCTCTCCCCTAGTAAAAAAAAAA